CCGCCTCCCCATTCCCCCCGTCGCAGGATCCCCATTTCACCCCTCTCCTCAAATCCATCCACCTCGACCTCCCCATCGACGATCCGGAGAAGGATTCCTTCCGCAGCACCACCGCTGATTCTGGCGGCGATGTCTCCATTGGTGGATTCGTCCTGTTCTTCCCGAATTACTCGACGTTTCTGGCGAAACCAGGGTTCTACATCGAGGACATCTTCGTGAGGGAGTGCTACAGGAGGAAGGGCTTGGGGAAGATGCTGCTGACTGCGGTGGCTGCGCAGGCGGCGAGGATGGGCTACGGGAGAGTGGAGTGGGTGGTGCTCGACTGGAATGTGAACGCCATCAAGTTTTACGAGCAGATGGGGGCTCAGATATTACCCGAGTGGCGGATCTGTAGGCTGACCGGTGAACACCTTCAAGCTTTTGCTCATATTAATCTTTGATTTCTGATAACAGTTTCTGTGCTTTTTTTTCCTGTGGGCTGTTATTCTTCAAGTGTTCTAGTTGATGAAGATACTAAACTAGTCTTTGCTTTCCAAGAAGTTCTAGTTAATGAAGAGTGTTGTTAAACTTTTGCCAATTGCTAAAAATTGGTGTTATCTGATTTAATTAGGCTTGTATGTTCCTTTTGCTTTCAAAGATAATCTCTATATACATTTTGCATCATTGACATAATTCAACTGGAAAATGTAAGCATTGCTTGAGCTGGAGTTCATTATTCCATATGCTAGATGATAGGAGCATTTCGAAACTTGCACGGTGTTTTTTTTGTAGTTATATGGTTTTGGCCTGGGATAGTAAGATGAAATCCTATGAAATATTGATTAACTTGTCCCAACCAAGTTGTGATAAGTTCTAGAGGAAATTTATTTCATCCGGCTCCGAAGATGGATGAAATTTTTCGCACCGTCAATTAATAAGTTAACATTTTTACGCCACTAAGTGTAAAACATATTATGCCATCGAGCAAGTGCGATCTCATTATGCGATGAAAAACTCGAAGATAAAAGGTTATGTAATTATATGAAGATAGACAAAAATGAGATCAACAACCAAATACATTCAATGTTTCCTCATAACATTTTTCTAAGAAAGTTGATATTCTGCAAAACGACTCCTAATACAGCTTACGATTATTAGAAATTTATTGTATAATAGAAATTCATTTTCCAAGCAACCATTCCAGTGACTTGTTGCAATGGGATTCAAAATACCCAAAAGAATTTGAAGTATCCAAATTCTTTCACACGAGAACCAAATTGAAGTATTTGTCGTTCTCTCGTTTATCCTGTAGTCGAGCCAAGTCGAGCCAAGCCGAGCTCGAGCTTAGGATAAATCAAGTCAACAACAGAAGATAATAGTTAAAAGCAATAGTCAAAGCATAGAGTAGACACCCTCTAAATATTGATTTTTTTTTTTTTTTCAAGGGGCTAAAAATTAAAATACCTTGAGCCTTTATCACCCAGACCATGGACCCAAACTATTGTTCATGTTTTGAACCCGAGAATTTGATTCAAATGTAGTGATGAGTTTTTCTCCATAGTCATTGTTGAAAACACTTTTCCTCCTTAATATCAGAAGTAACTTGTTGTCAACAATTTTTCATAATGCTCTTGCCCTGCTTCAACATATAACAATGTTTAAGGACCAGTAAACAAAACAAATCACCCTCCAATATTAAAACAAAAACCAGAAACTATGTAATACGCTTCATAAATCGATTATCAATTCACATGTAAGGAACGGATATTTGGCACGAGAATTGGCAGCACTGAACACAACAACAAAAAGTGCTTAGTCTTTCTCTCGTTTACATGGTCTGACTATTTCTCTAGACTCTGAGAAAATGGACATACCTGCAATGAGTCGCAATTAGTGAAGAAGCGAAATTCGATCAGGTGGCATCAACATCTGATACGAGGGACGAACTTTCTCATCGAAAGTGGCCAAAGATGAGAAGAGAAAAACAAGCCAGACAGATAGGCCCGTACAAAAATGTATTTGCAATGTAGGTCGAAAATAATCTCCAAAAATGAGAAAACTTGGAGCTGTCAAAATAAAAATGAGTTTGGAAAAATAGTTTTTGCAACTGTGATTTCATGTATTTGGAAGTGAGAATAATTTCTTTATTTCAAGAGTTCAACAGGCCAATTACGAATTCACCAAGAAACCCATCAATCGAGCTCCATCCAGCAACCGTCTGCCACAGTAAGATCTCAGACACTAATCCATGCCCAGCAGCAGAAGATACCACCAAAAGCCACGGTAGTAAAATCATTCAGATTGATGCAAGGATTAAACCCAGGAGTTCCAATAGTAGAGGTATGGACCCACCGATGGTTTTATGGCAATATACCGATTATATGACATCCATTGATTTTAAAGGAAATATATTTAATAGCCTTATTTTGTTTTAATTAATGTAAAGGGTTAATATTGGACAAATTAGTAGTTTAATAAATTACATTTTTATTAAAAAATTACTAAATCTATACTTATATTAAAAACTATACTATTTACTAAATGTAGCATGTAGAATAGTCAACTTTAATTAATGATTTGCTATTTTTATCAAGCATTTAATTAATGCATCTAATATTTTTGATATGAAAATCAAATTAGCATTTAATTAGTTCCTAAAATATTGGGTATACAATATTAATTTCGGAATATCCATGTAGTTCCTAAAATGTTAGTATGCAATACTTAAAAGAAGATTTTTTATTTTTTTAAATATAAAGTATTGCAATGCGTAAAAATATTCAAGTTATTTTTTATTTTATTTTACATATAAAATCTAATCAATATTTAATGCATCCTACAAAATTGGATATAAATAAAGAAGTACATAAAATCTTTACTAAAATAAAAAAAAAAAAGCTTTATTATTATCTAATTGTATGGAAATCTGTTCTGATTTTATGGTACGTACTACAAATTGTGCACCCGTGTTCAGGATCTACTTAACGGGCAAGCTTTGTGAAAATAATTCATTTAGTCCTTCTGTCCCGTGCATACAGTATGTATTTGTATTACACATACTAGAAAATTGTGCACCCCGTGCATCGCACAGACTCTGTACTAATAAATGACCTTAAAATTGTGCACCCCTTGCATCATCCGTGTTCATATTTTGGCCTATTACATGTCACGTATTATATATATTCCGTACATTTTTCTTTATTCATTTATATAATTATAAAATTTGATAAATGACTTTTGTGCACCTCGTGCATCGCACGGGATCTGTACTAGTTAAATAAAAGAACACATCGAGATTTTGAGGGGTACCTGCCATTATGTATGTACCACGCATGGCTGAGAAGTGCCTTTGTAGAACACAAGGCTGGTTGACCCATCATACTATGTGAACAAAAATGCATATTTGTACTATCAAATGTACATTTAAACAAATGTCATATTAAATGTCATACTTCTGTTTCGCTAGTTTTTACAAGACATTTTCCTAAAAACCATGCATATTTGTGAAAAAGATATGTCGACTTAATGGTTAGACCGGCCTAACAGGCCTATAGAATACCTCTCATAGCTTTATGTAAAAATTAAAATCGACTTTTCTCATAATTTACAATGACCGGACCCCCTTCACCCTAATACCCATCTTCCTTTCCATCTCGACATTTTCCATGACCCTAATACTCATAATTTTTTTCTTTTTGATTTACATAGCAAGTAGGCTGCCCTGCTAGAGTCAATTGTATGATCAGCGACCAAATCTCTGCCTCATGTGATTATGAGCCTTGCCGTGATCTGAGTTTTCATATTTTCATGTCCACTTTTATAAAGACGGAATCTTTTTTGCCAATATGCTGCATCCTGTTGTCCATGGAACATAAAAACAGCCTTGTCATGTCGTATCATCATTAAAACCACATATGCAGTAGTTCCTGCTATTCGTTCCGGTATATTAATGTTCGCAAACCAGTACATTCAGTAAGTTCCCAGCTATTCAACAATCGAGGATTGTTCGCAAACCCCCGAGAAAAAAATGATTCTCCAAAATGATTCTAGCTTCCATTACGTTTAAGAAAAATAAAAAATCATGTTCCAGCTAGAGTCCAGAAGTTGAAAATACTTATTTAGTATTTACACAATACTGTCTCAATTCATCCTATTTCATCAGATCAGGGGTGTCATAGGGTTCTATCAGGGGTGTCATAGGGTTCTGAAGGATGAACCGGATATGGACAGTTCCAATAAGATTTCATTCTTGAACAAAAATCCATTTTTGGATTTATTTCATCTATTCCATGACCGGAAGAGGGGAGGATACACCTTACACCACAATTTTGAATTAGAAGAGAGATTTCAAGAAATGGCATGCTCATGTTTGGTTGGTTTGTTTAGCTCGGTTATCTTACCTTCCATCACTCCTAGAATGTACAGGCCTCATCTTCCTCCGTCACCGGCAACTTAAATTAGCTAGAATAAGAGAACAAATCAATACCAATCGATATACTAAAATTAAACAAAAAAAGATATGGCAAACCCATAACAAGAATCTATTCACATCCATTCATTCCCACAACTCACAAAACATAATCTTCAAAACTTATTGCCTCTTCAAATAAAAAAGCAACTCCTATATTCTTTATCCTTAAAAAAAAAAAAGAGGTGTTGTCACTGCTAAAAATTCTACTACTCACATTTTTTCAACAATCCTCACCAAAATATATTCATTCACAGCAACAAACAATATTGACATCATCAATAGGTTAGAAAACGTCACCGTGGGCCGAGGGTAACCGTGAAGTCAGTAACCGAACCCATATTCCCCGCCCAGTCTTGCGATTCCAAAAACATCTGTGAGACACGAACAGCAACTCTACCCATATCTGGCCGGTTGTCAGGGTCATCCTCCACGCAGTCCAGGGCCAGGCGGGCCAATTTCTCCACCACCGCCACTGGGTAAGAGTCCCTCAGCCTCCTGTCCACCCACTTCCGGACTCCACCTTCCTTCACGGCTTCCCTGGCAGTCTCCACCACCGATATTCTTGCATAACTCCCACTCTCCTCATCAATTTTATATGCCAAAGCCTCCATACCTGATAACAACTCAAGAATTACAACCCCAAATGCATAAACATCGCATTTTTGTGTCACTATCCCACTCTTTTGGAACTCAGGGGCCATATACCCCCGGGTTCCCTCAAGCTTATTGACCTTGCTGCTCGATCTTTTCAACTCCCTATTCGAATCCACACTACATTCTTCTCTGATAATCTCACCACAAAGCTCGGACGTCCCGAAATGGCAGAGTTTAGCATTGAGGGACGGCTCGACCACGATTACGCTGCTACTCTTAATGTGATTGTGCACAAATTCAAACCCTAGCCCAGTTGAGTTGTGGACATAGTCCAGACCATGGGCAATGTCAGAGGCGACCCGCATGCGCGACATCCAATTAGACAGCACCGTGAAATTAGGGTTCCTCGCGTTTCTTAGGCAATCGGCGAGATTTGCACCAGGAATATAATCGTAGACCAGGTAGATGTAGGCGCCGGAAATGGAGGCGCCTTTCAGCTTGACGAGGCTGGAGTGGTGGCTCCGGCAAATCACGGCAAGGCGGTCGACGATCTGTGCGGTGTCCATCTGGCGGCGGGTTCGGCGCTGGAAGATCAGGCAGAGCTGATCGCGCACGGTGCACCGCCAGGCGGTGGAGGAGGAGGATTTCGAGTGGGGCTTGATGAGGAAGTTGTTGGTGGCGGCGATGATCTCCTGGAAATCGTAGATGTGGGGCTGCTCGCGTGAGATAGACTCGCGGAGGCCGGAGAGGGAGGCGCGTGTGGAATTCAAGCTGCCGTGGGAGTTACGATAGAAGCTGGAGGTGGAGGCGGTGCTAGGGATGATGAAATTGTCGGAGCCGGTGGAGTCGTAAGGGTTTGAGGAGGAGGAGTGGTGTTGGGATTTTCTCAAGGAAGGGGATGATCGTGGGGTGGGTGACGTCACTTTCCGGGACATGGTCTTCTTGGATTTGCACATGAAGAAGAACATACAGAATTCGAAAAGGGGAAATGGAGGCGGCGCCGGCGGAGCAGCTAAAAGTCCGCCGTAACAATACTATTTTAAATTCTAATGGCTAGGTGTATTTGTGATTTGTAAAGAATTGTTATTTGGAAAATCGGTATTTAATTTAGAATTTTAAGACTTTAAAAATATTCGTATTTGATCTCGTGCATTTTTATAAAATATTAGTATTTTTATAAAACACGTTTGTGTTTGTATTTATTAATTAGTCATGTACTTCTATCATATAATTTTATTTTTTACTTTTCTTAAGTTATTTTTATCATTTAAATTTAATTGAGATTTAAATTTTATTTTAATCATGCAACGTTTACATTAATAACGTGAATAAAATAATTTATATATTTGTGGCGTATATTAAGAAAATTAACAAAAATAAAAAAAAAAATTATTGTTTTTTCTGATTAATTTTAGAAAAAAAAATATGTGTCAATCATATTCTTCTTCCAACAATGCAACCAAATATAACATTTGAATATTTTGCTACTAAATTTAGAACTAATTTAGTAACTGATCTAAAAAATAAATAATAAAAAAAAATATATATATATATATATATATATTAAGGTATAATAGTTTTAGCAGATTAATGAGTAATTAATTAAAAATGTAACTCATTTTGGATGAAAATGAAAATATATTTTATTAGAAATTTTATTAAATACATCAGCTAGTAATTATATTATATATTATATTACATTTTACAAAGTATTATAAATTTTTTATTATTTAACTTGTACTATTGTTTGGATTTTGAGGTTTCAAAAGAAAGTATATATAAAATTTCAATCTAAATTTTATTTCATACTTAAAATTTCACATATTTATGTAAAATTTCACATATTTATATAAAATTCCATATCAGGAATATGGATATGGAAGAAATAATGATGCTAGGCCATCAATTTACTTGGAGTAATAACAGAGTGGCTGATGGATTGGTTGAAGAGAAATTGGATAGAGGCTTTGGCTCCATTGACTGGCATCACCAATTTCCTAATGCCAAGGTCCTGAATAAGGTAGCAAGTTCTTCTGATCACTCTATATTGCTGATGGATGCAGGTCAGTACAAAGATAGAAAAGCAAAGCGATTTCATTTTGACAAAAGGTGGGTTGAAAAGGAAGGTTTTCTGGAAATTGTGTCAAAAGCCTGGTCTCTTCCTGTCAGTGGCACTCCTTTTTTCAGACTCAAAGAGAAGGTCAAAAACACCAGAGCTGCCTTGCTGATTTGGAGCTCCAAATTTCACTCCCAAAACCAACTCAAAATAGCCTCTCTCACTCAGAAGCTAGAATCCCTAAGAGAGCAACAGACAATTTCCAACTGGGAGGATTGGAACTCTACAAGAATTGAACTGGAAAAGGCACATCACACAGAAGAGTTATACTGGCAACAAAAGGCAAGATTAAACTGGCTCAAACAGGGAGATTGCAACTCGAGGTTCTTTCATGCCTACACTCAACAGAAAAGGAGACAAAATGCAATCTCAAGACTTATCACATCAAGAGGAGAATAGCTCACTTCGAAACAGGCCATTCAATCCCACATTACAGAGTTCTATTCCACTCTTTTTTCTACTGAAGGCTCATGGGGTGGGGTCTCTATTCTCCATTTAATCCCAAAGTCCATTTTTGAGGATATGAAAACTTCCCTGATGCAGCCTGTTGAGGAGGAAGAGATCAAGACAACTCTGTTTAGTCTTCCTCCTGATAAGGCACCTGGTGAGGACGGTATGAGTGCTTTTTTCTATCAACACCTTTGGTCTCTTATTCATTCTGATTTTGTTGCTGCTGTTTTGAGCTTCTTTAATACTGGACAAATTTTGCAATATTGGAATCACACCATTCTATCTCTCATCCCAAAATGTGCATCATCAGACTCCTTAAGTCAATTTCGCCCTATTAGCTTGTGCTCAGTAGTTTACAAAGTGATCTCTAAGGTTCTTGCTATGAGGCTCCAACTATGCTTGAATGATTGTATCAGTATCCAACAGTCTGCCTTTATTAAAGGAAAGCAATTGCTTGACAATGTCATTGTTGCTCAGGAAGCATTTCATTTTTTGAATAGGCATTCCTCTGGTAAGAACTACTTTATGGCCTTAAAGCTTGATCTTATGAAGGCTTTTGATAGGGTAGAATGGCTGAGCATTAAAAAGATAATGGTGCAGATGGGCTTCAAATTGGAATTTATCAAACTTATTATGGACTGCATCTCTACATCCTCTATCTCCTTTAAAATAAATGGTGAAGTCAGTGGTTATGTATACCCTTCCAGAGGAATCAGACAAGGGATCCCATCTCCCCTTACCTGTTCTTGATCATGTCTGAAATTTTATCTGCTCTCATATTGCATGCATGTTCCTCTGGTCTTCTTAAGGGTATGAGGCTGTCCCAGAATGGTCCTACTTTATCTCACCTCTTATTTGCTGATGATTCATTGTTTTTTTGCAATGCCGGGGTTGATCAAACTCACATTCTTATGGACTTGCTGAACAAGTATAAACTATTTACTGGTCAAACTGTTAATCTTCAGACGTCTGCAATTTTTTTTAGTAAGAACACTCCTAGCACTCTCCAGCATAATGTATGTTCTACACTCCATGTCATTCACCCCCACAGATCCACTAGATACCTGGGATTGCCATTGGGCATTGGAAGATCAAAAAAAGAGGTTTTTGCTTATCTTCTGGATTCAGTCAAAGGAAAACTTCAGAGTTGGAAAGCCAAACTTCTTTCTTCTGCTGGGAAAATTGTTCTTATGAAAGCTGTGTTGCAGGCATTGCCCATTTTCACTATGTCTTGCTTTAAGCTGCCTGCGAATATTTGTGCTGAAATCTCAAGCCTCTGTGCTAAATTCTGGTGGAACACAAGTTCTGATGATGACTTCAGAGGTATTCAATGGAAAAGCTGGGAAAAACTCACAACTCCTAAACAGGCTGGTGGTTTAGGCCTCCTTGATATAAAGCTCTTCAATGAATTCCTTATTTGCAAACAAATTTGGAGGATTGTCAGCCAGCCAGATCTTTTAGTGAGCAAGGTCTTAAAAGACAGGTACTTTCCTAATTCCTCAAATTTCCAAGCTTCTAAATCTCAGAAAGGTTCATGGTTATGGAACTGTTGGGTTGATGTCCTTCCCTTTTTTATTAAGAACCTGAAAACTGAGATTAGAAATGGATCATACACTAGAATCTCTGACCACAACTGGGTGCCTAATCTGTCAAAATCCTCTCCTGCATTACTTGAGCTTGCTAGAGAGCATCTGATATTTGTTAAAGACCTAATGCTGCCAGATGGCTCAGGCTGGAATGAATGGTTAATAAAACAGGTCTTCAACAATGAGGATAGCTCTGCCATTCTGAAAATCAGTACTGTGAAAGCTGATAGACCTGATAGGCATTATTGGGCCTTGGACAAAAAAGGAAACTTCACAGTGTTTTGCACTTATGCTAATTTGGTGGCCCAGAAAGTTCATGCTATGGATCTTCCAGAAAGCAGTTTATGCCCCAATCCATGGCACTCAACTTTAAAAAGATTTTGGTCGATGAAGGTGATGATGAAAGTCAAATTATTTATTTGGAAATGTTTTTCTGGAGCACTGCCTGTTCTTGTGAAACTGAAAAGCAGAGGCCTTGATATTGATGTGATTTGTAGAAGTTGTGGAGAATCTCCTGAAACAATTGAGCATGTCTTGCTTCAGTGTCCTAGAGCTTGTACTATATGGGATTTAGCTCCAGTTTCTTGGCCAAATCTAGCCCATCTCAGGTACTCTTTCAGAAACTGGTGGCAAGAAGTCTGCAGCATAGGTCTCTCAGAGATAGCTGAGGACAGAATTCAGCTCTCCACCTACCTCCTTTGGTGGCTCTGGAAGACGAGGAACCAGTGGATATTTCAGCACTCTACTCCCCCACCTCACATGGTCATCAAAGCAACTATGTCAGACTGGCTGAACTTTGCTGCAGCTGCTAGAAGCACTCCTTGATTTGTTCCTTTAGTGGTTTGTTTGTTTTGTTCAGTATTTAGTGCTTTGTTCTCTTAGTGGTTTTTGTTTCTTAGGGCAGGTGTTGGCTAGGCTTTGAGGCAGTGGTTCGGCAACTGTTCCTTTTCTCCTTTGTCTTCTTTTTTTGGTTGAGGTTTTAGACCATCTTGTTGATGTGTCTCTCATGTTGTCTTTCTTTGGGATATTGTATTTGGACATTGGTTGTTTTCATTAATAGTATCATCTATGGTTCCGGAAAAAAAAAATAAAAAATAAAATTCCCAAATCTTAAAAAATCTCACTTCAACTGCACGGCTCCATCGCAGATTCACTCCGCCGCCACCACGTCTCCAC